TCCATACGTGCATACTCAAAAAACGTTACCCTTCTTTTGAAGTAGCCAAGTAAAGAAAAAAGGTTATACTATAAAAAAACAAATACTGTAATAAAAATGCTGAACAACAGGTTCTAGCCTAGTTCGGCAATAGATGCTATTTTTCATGTTATAAGATAAAATATTCCTGTGTAGTTTATAAATAGATATATTGCTAACTGGTATTTATGGAAATAAAGATTATTATAATCATAATTATAGAAATAATGCCATTTTGAAAGATACTGTTGAGGGGTTAAGAATATCCACTAGCATTGTTTCGTCTCGTCTCGTGGGTGTCGTAAGAGGCGTCGGAGGGAAACTGAACAGGAAATGGGCAACAGCATCTTCTTAATAATAACTAAAAGTTACTGTTTTTTTATAACCAACGATAAAACACAGAATGACTTACAATAAGTGTTATCCGTATTGAATAAAATTTATTGTATTCTGTTTATTCAAAAAATTTAAATACAAAATATTATAAGACAGATGGAAATATTGGTTAGGCTATCTTCAAACAAACAAAAAACAAACTATGTGGTGACGGATTAGGAATATCCACCACTCTCATTTCGTCTAATCCACTAGGTGTCGTAAGAGGCATCGGAGCAGTGGCGAAGCTAGAGCTCGAAGATAGGGCAAGCCCAAGATATAAATTGATAAAAATATAGATTGTTGTTTTTAGCAGTTTTATAAAATTACACCAATCTTGATCTGTCTCCACGCTTCAGTTTCATATTCAATGCTGTCAAGGACGTGCTTAACAAAGCACACTGAAGGCATACCACTGCTAGATAGATTGTATTATATATCAGCAATTGCATAGCTTCGGTGGCTTTGAAGAAAGCCGTTTGGGTTTGTTTAAGCGAAAGAAAAAAATTTTTTACATCCAATACAATACATGAACAAAAGTAAAACACGAACAAAGTACAAACTATGTACAAAATTAAAAAAAAAATATTTACATTCTAATGGATAAGAGATAATGATTAAAACTACTTTTACGGATTTTATCGCGTTTATTTTTACTTTTTATTTTTAATTCCCGACGTTTCGGGCGCTTTCCAGCACCCATGGTCACGGGGGGACTGAGATGACTGACGTCCCGATGTCATTGTTAAACCCGGAGTACCTTCAGCTTTTTTAATTATTGTTTATGGTCCGATCTATGCAAAATGAACTGACTATGTCTTGAGTTCTTGCAGTGGTATGCTTGGGTTTAGTTTTAATTTTATTGATTATAGGATCCCAAGCAGGTGGTAGTATCCAGCCTCCTTCTCTATTGAAATTAGGATGTTTTTTAATTTCAATAGCCTCACGTATCATCCTTGGTAGGAATCGGTGTTCTTTCGCGAGGATTTGTGGTCTATCAAATCTGATGTAATGGTTGCTAGACGGCCCCAACCATTACATCAGATTTGAACTTGCAAACGTATTGCCCGCGCGCCTCCGCTTTTAACAAATTTATTCCCAAAAGCCTGGCTTTAAATCTCTATACTAATTGCTATATATACAATCGTAGTTATATTTCACTATAGAATATTTTGCCATAGGTTAGATAGAGAGCGATCGTCTTCTCGAAAGCCCCGTAAAAAAGCCCACGCGAGCGAGGGAGACAACTATTAGCTCTATTAAAACTCATTTTTTATGACAGCAGCAGTATCGCTAAGGCAATACGAGGTCATCGGTCGACATGTGTCAAACAGTGGAGTGCGCGGGAAATTTGAAATAGCTTGAAACATTTTACGAGTTCTTTTATTAGTTGATATTATTGATTGATTCAGGTTTAATAAGGCAAGCCCGGCTTTTCGGCTTTAATGGAAGCTTCGCCACTGCATCGGAGGGAAACTGAAACAGGAAATCGGCAGTTAAGTTACAAGTTTTCACACTTTCGCACTATATAATTATATAACAGAAAAACTCCTTTCATGCCAACTGTCTCCAAGCATTCAACCATTATTAAGATAAGTTTGATACGAAACAAACACGTAAGGGATAGGAAGAGAGAATAAAAACAGGAATAAGGCGGATGTTATTACGTCACTATAATATATATTACAAAGACTGCTGGCTTACTCTTGAAAACAATTCCGATCGATCGGGATTGGAATTATGACATTTGGTACTCTTGAAAGCGACTCTAGCGCTAAATTAGTTTAGTATTGCGTGGTGACTGTGTGAACTAATTGGGATTGGAATTGAAATTGTCCGAGCAAAATCGGTACTCCCGACGCACTTTTGACAGTTACATAGATTACTGTGTATATATATATGTGTATATATACACTAGATGTGTAGACGTGGGTCGTTACGTCATTTTCAAGAAACGTAACGAAACCAGTGACTTGATCGGCGTCACCTGTTTCAAAACTAGTGATTTTTGTAACTGGCTATTTTTATTCGGCTACTGTGATTGTTTGCATAAATATCACCACCAACTATACAGTTACACACGAAACGAAAATAAATTTAATCACAATCTGTGTTTGTAGCTATACAGTAACTGTATACTGTTAAATCAATAAATTAACTTCCCTTCATACTTTATTCAGGTTTAGGACAGACTGCATTAAATGTATTTATGATTGATTTGCGTTTACTATGACACTAATATTTTCATAAAATTATTAATGCAGGCATATTTACAAGTCAATTTGATTGTATATACAATGATTATTGATATTTACAGTTTATTTACACTTTTTCAACGTTTTCACTCTCATTTGTTTTTGCACTTTTATTTACACTGTACAATTAATTTGTTTGTTTGTTTGGCTATTTACACACAGTTTTTAAGTTTTATAATATTATAAACATTTAAATTTTTAAATTTTATATACATTTATTAGTTTTATTTTAATTTTATGAATAAATGAGTTCATGATTCCGTCAAAAATGTTTTAAAAATTATTTTAGTTAAATTCAATGTGACTCGCTTCCCGGAATCACAAACCGTTGAAAATTTTTTTTACAGAGATTATTTTATTGTCTATGTCTATAGTCTTACATATGAAAATTAAACGTACAATAAAACTGTTTCTTACGATGGTTTGTTTATTGTTGTATGCCACATGTGCGCTTTGCGCTCGAGCGACCGACAGTCGACTCCCGCAATAATCATGGTTAACAGTAATCATAATCACGCATTTACAAAAATAACTACTTGTAACATGACTCGAAACTAGTGATTCGGTTACATGCCGCGTAGCCAGTTATTGTATCTAGTGACGTGAAATAATGCCCACGTCTAATGGAATGGACAGTTAGTCAGTTAGTTGACAGCAGCGTATTGTGTTTGACGTTGGGTTGAAATTGGAATTAAGGCAATAGCAAAACAGTAACGTTTTAGAAATTGTGGTGAAATTAATCGTTTGTTTTCTGCAAGTATATTATTTTGAAAATTCAGAATCGAAAAAGCAGAAAATGTAAATTTAGGTTTAGAAAAGCAAGCAGCGGTGATAGGAAGTTGTACTTCCCCTATTCCTGGCACCTCCCAGGATACACCACAATCACCTCCGCGTAAAAGTAAGTAGTTTTTTTTATAGAAGAGAAGAAAATAAGCATGTGGCTCACCTAATAGTGGTGACCACCACCCATGAACAACTACAATACCAGTGTTACAGGTGCTTTGCCGGCCTTTAATTTTCATAACATTAACCAAAACTAGAATGTGACTAACATTAACCAAAATTTAGCACCATTTTTAATTTAATCCTATGCCGTGTGAGTGATGCTTGCAGTACTGTTAAACAGTTGTAAAATGTTTAGTTCATTTGTTATATTTTTTGCCGATAATGATTAATGTTATTATTTTGATCTTCAAATGTTCCTATACAACCAAAAATCTACGAAAAAATTTACTATGAGACCTAATTTACGATTTAGACGTAGGTTCTATAATAACCACTCCTATCGCGAAATAAAAAAAATGTGATTATAGAGGGCGAATTAGCAAACTTCACAAAAACAAAATATTAGACTTTTCCGTCACCGTTGTTCACTATTTTTTCTCAGACAGCCCAAACAGTAAGTATCCATAGCCGTTTATAAAATGCACTGTAAAATGCATTATGCAGTGAAATTGTCTATGCTCACAATCACCCAGTGATTTATTTTCATAAACTTCAAGCAAACAATAAACTCATTAGCTCAAAAAACAACTAAATATAAATGGATTGTGTATATTCATATTGTTTCAAAATTATGTGTGTATAGACAGCAAGAGAAAAAACATTATTTGTATATCCATTTATGTAGAATAGTTATCAGGCGACAATGATACCACAGAATAACAAAGCAAAAGCAGTGACAACTGTGACATTACGGTTCACACTTGAGAGGGAGTTTGACACATCATGATATTTTTCAGGTGATTGATGCCTTTAAGAATCCTAAATTATTCAAAATTTTAAACCTTTAATAGGAGATGAAATATTTAGTTTATATTGATTTCGCGGGTTCACATTGTTCACAAGTTCTTATTAATCAATTATTGGCTCATTGACATCGATGTATCGATGTTTGACATGTGGCATCATCGATGTTACGATGTTTAGCATGTGGCAACATCGATGTTAAAACATCGATGTTTTAATTTCTAACATCGATAATCATCGAACATCCCTATACTGTTTGTTTTTAAAATTTGAAAGTGTTCATCCCCCGCCTAAGTAATAATAAATAATAAAAATACATAAAGAAGTGTTTTTCGACAAACTTAACGTCTGTTCACACGGTTCTTGTAAAAACAGATTGATTTATTAACTTTGAATGTTTTTTTAGGCTGTAAAGTGTGTGTGCCTTTCCCTTTTTTACTATAGGTACTTGAAAATAATCCATAACTCATTCCTCTCATTCTTAAATAGGGTTCTGTGATTTTAAATAAGTTTTTATTTTTATATATGTTGAAGTACTTAAAGACTGGTGCAGTTTGGTGCTGATTATTTCGAAATTGTTCATCATCAATTTAACATTATAACATGGCTAATCGTCCAACTCTAGCACAAATTGAAACCTTAGTTGAATTTTTAGAACAAAACGTCGGAATTGCGAAAGGTCTGCTTCGGACAAATCAAGCAAAAATGGAAATAAAGAGGCAATGGGCATCTGTAGCTATAACTTTAAATTCATTGCGAGGAGCAAACAAAGATGGGCAAGGTTGGGCTAAAGTAAGTCTTAAGTTTATATAAAAAATAAATATCCATAATTTTTAGTATTGGGCAGAGAAGAAATGTGCCTTGAAAAATTGTGTGCTCAGCACAGCAATTCCATGAGACGCCCTGGTGGTGGTTCTGCTGATGACCTGCCCATGTTATCAGACTTGGATAAGAGATTGGTGGCAGTTATGGGTGGTCAAGAAAACTACGCTATTTTTATAAAAACTAATCTAAAGAATCGAACAGTGAACTTATATTCTTAAAGTACACAATATAAGATTTCTATTACAAAAAAAAAAAACACTCCAAATAATCCTTTAACATAAAAATGTTAAGCGATTTAAAAATATTAAAAATATAGTGGCTTGTTTAGCCAGTCATCAAGCAAGATATGAATTGAAAAAATTAAAAAGCGTGCAGTGAATTTATTTTTCTAAAAATATGTAAAGATGATATTAACACAGGAAAATAAAAGAAAAATTAAAATCTAAGCAAAATTATGAAAGTAAAAGGTGTATGTATATTAATATAACTCTGCTTGATAGCCGGTCATATAATGACCAGCCGGAACACGCATTTCGTTTAGCTTAAATACGAATGAATTTATTTACAATCTGTATTTGCTCATGAAATTATTAACATAATAAAACAAAAACAATACGAACAAATTTGAAAGTAATCAAAAAAATCTTAAGAAACATGCGGATAAATTCTCGGTTACCCATTTCAGAAAATGTTTGTATTTTAAAAGTATGCGTAGAAATATTAATATTTTTTACAAAAATCGAATAAGTAATTAGTTTGGCATGATTATTACGAACTTTGAGTGGATTCACTGTAAAACATAATAAATTTCAGCTTATAAAACTTTGTAACGGCCACTTGCAACAATGGTACAGAGCAGAACTGTGACTAAAAGCTTTTATTTTATAAAGTAGTCTGTTTTTATAGAACATTATCCATATTCATATAAATTTCTACAAAACTACCAAGGCATAGACCACAATAAAGTATTTTAGTGTAAAAAAACCTTTGACTAGAGAAGAAAGAAAGGACATGACACATCTACGAAAAAACGTGTATACCAGTGTATACCTAAACTGAGTCTGGCACGAAGATGGCGGCTTGACGTAGTGCTGCGCACTATACTTAATATCGATAATGTGGCGCTTATTTAGAAAAAGATTCTTTCGTGTGATTCGTCTCAAACACCCGTGTGTTCTTTGATAGGTTTTTTTAAATCAACATGAAGGATTTTTGGCGCCAAATTGTAAGTCCTTAATTTTTTTTACTCAGCCTATCGATAAGGGTGTCAAAATAAAGGAAATTACTGAAATATATTATAAGTTATACCTATGTTTTCAGTTCATTACTTTTAAGCAGTCATTTTTATTTTGTTTTTATAATGTAACTATCTATTATTAATGTTACAATTATTTCCCGGGAATTACTTAACAAGAAATACTAATTAAAAAATTTTTGTTTGTTTGTTAGACAATAAAATAAGCTCAGTCATCATACTCACACTAATCAAAAACCAGACATAATACGATAGGTCATCAAACATCCGCTCTATGGAGTGTAGAAGTAAAGAGTACCAGCTTTCATAGTAGAATAGTTCAAAAACTCTCCACAACAGCGCTGGAGTAGATACTGGGATGAAATGAACTTAGCAGTTGTCGACAGTTTGAAGTGTGCTGCTAAACTGCTCAGTAGCTCTAAAATCTAAAATAATTTTATTTAGTAAATATAACCTCGAAAAAGTCGTCTATCCCACTAATATTTTTCGGCAAGTTCTTTAAAATTTAGCCCGTAGCTATAGTGGCGCCACCCTTATTTAACGGTTTTCTATGGACACTTTTTAATACACAGTCTGTACTTACTTCTACACTCCATTGTCCGCTTGCAACATGCAGTCATAATGTGACAGCTCATCAAGTGAATGGATAATAACGGTTCATACTTTCCATAGTAACGGTCGTGTTGTTTCGAATTTGTTTACCAACATATCCCTCCGCTTACTACGGCTTAAACAATATGCCATAGATATAGTATACTAAATCTATGCAATATGCCATTCGGTCGAGCCAGGTCGAGATAAGGCATACAGCCGTGTCTCTCATGCCAAAAATAATTTTTGAGATTGTTTTTTTTTATTTGTTAATATATATTGTTAGCTTTTTTACTGAATTTAACAGTAACTTGCATCAAATGAATTATAATACACTACTTAAGAGTATTAATACATTATATTAAAATTACTGTATTGATAATGAACTTACATAAGAGTCAGGTCAGTGAAGAAATAGATCGATATAAATCGAATCGATATTTTTAAACAGTATCGTTATATATCGCGTGATAAATATCGATTTATCATGTTTTGTATGATGTGGTAGGACAAGGCCCAAAATAATAATGCTGGACGGTTGGACGACGAAAAAAAACGACAACAGCATATGAATGCTTTTATAGCTTAATGTTTGGTCGATAAATACAACATTTTTAAATATATCGAAATTGATACGTACTTACGATATGGGGGATTTTTGTTGCTACGCTTGGCAGTCGGATTGGAAACCTCAGTTTTTCTATAATTTTGAGATATTATCAGGAAGCTCATCTTCTGATGCAGCTTCCCTATGTAGCCTATTACGACACACACATGATGATTTGAGGTAGTGAATATTCTTTCACTTTATGACTCCGTTAACAGCGAATTTAAGAAGGCATAAGTCGTTTTTGTAGAAATGATGTTGGAGAAGCAGAAACAAGAAAACGTTACGTAATTTGCACCTCTGTGTTCTTAGATGGAATTATTCAACACCTGTTATTATTTTGGCTGTCTATTAAAGGTACTCTGTGCCTAGAATCCAGAATCTAATAGACCCTTTAGCACAGAGTACTTTTTGTATATACCTGAAGCTTTCAGATTTGAACACAGTCAGTAGTGCAATAACTATGGGTCGACTTAATATTTTATCGCACGCGAGTAACCGTGTTTCGATCCTTGATGCAAGCGGCATCACTAAGGAATGGTTGGGGTTGGATTAATTTTAAAACGTGCCACATATATGAAGTATGAATGCATAGGGTGCGGCTTTGTAGGCGATCACAGAGAAATAAGAGGACAGGACAGCCAGCCAATATCCGTAAATGTCCACTGCTGAATATGGGAGATTAGTATTTGTATTTCTTTTATAAACATAATCCATTTCAAGGTATACAACAGTTTATATTATGTTATCATAGATATGCCTATGTCCAACAGTGAACTTAAAATTTTAAGTCCGCCATATGTACGATTTTACTTTTTGTGCATAAAAGTTTAAATAAATTAAGTATACAACTGTAAAGATGATATCCTGTGGCAAAGGGAGTGAAGAAGCAAAGGGAAAGTATCAAAATGATTAGCCACTGCGTTATCGCGACATTATCCCGAATTACTGCTCTAGTGGTTATATTTTTTAATAATTTATTTATGTTACCAGCTGATTAGTGACCGCCAGTACGGTATTTCCGTTGCGATCGCTCGGCTGGTGATCTTCTAGGATACCTAACTCATAAATGGGTGAAGGCAATAGAGTCCAAAGGGGAGGCGTTGGCCGTTAGTTTGGACATAGCGAAGGCCTTCGATCGGATTTGGTTTGGCATATAGCGCTCCTTACGAAGCTTCCTTCCTACGGGCTTCCCGAGAAATTGTGCAATTAGATCACCAGATTTCTTGCTGATCGGAGCATCAAGGTCGTAGTAGACGGTGCATGCTCCGATTACAAGGCCATTAACGCTGGTGTTCCACAAGGCTGCATGCTATCACCAACGCTGTTTCTTCTGCATATCAATGACATGTTGCAAATCGGTAGCATTCATTGCTAAGCAGACGACAGTACTGGTGATGCTTTATACACCGGCCGTGCCAATATTTCTAAGGAAAACGTCGCAGAGTACCGGGACAAACTTGTTTCTGAAGTCGAGATTTTGTTGAATAAAATCTCGGACTGGGGTAAATTTTTGTAACTTCTTTTATTATTATTTAATCCCCAGAAGACACATGTTTGCGTGTTTACCGCTAAAAAGAACCCCTTCGTCGTATCTCCTCAGTTTCAAGGCACTCCCCTTGTTGACTCAGCCAGTATCGGAATACTCGGCGTCGACATATCGAGTGACGTGCAGTTTCGTGGTCACTTGGAAGAGAAGGCCAAATTAGCCTCTAAAAAGCTTAGCGTGCTCAGCAGAGTGGGACAGTATTTCAAGCCGGCTAACCGCTTGCAACTTTACAAGACGCGGGTTCGGCCGCTCATGGAATACTGTTCCCATTTCTGGGCCGGGGCTCCCCAGTGCCAGCTCCTTATATTTGATCGCATCCAGCGCAGAGCAGTTCGAATCGTCGGCGACCGAGCTCTTCCCGACCGGCTTGACTCACTGGCAGTGCGAAGGGATGTTGCATCTCTTTGCGTATTTTACCGCATCTACCACGGGGAGTGCTCTGAGGAATTGTTCGGACTAATTCCAGCCACACAGTTTCACCATCGCACATCGCGATAAAACTCGTGTATCATCCATACCACCTGGATGACTGGCGGTCCACCACCGCGCGATTTAAAAGAATTCTTTCTTCCTCGCACAACTTCATTGTGGAATCCACTACCACCAGAGATTTTTACGGACCGATACGATTTAGGGACCTTCAAGAAAAGAGCCAATTCCTTTTTAAAAGGCCGGCAACGCATCTGCAATCCCCCTGGTGTTGCAGCTGTTCATGGGCGACGGTAATCACTTACCATCAGGTGAGCCGTATGATCCTTTGCTCCCTCTCCTATAAAAAAATGAACACCATTATATAGCCTTTGAGAATTACGAAATAATTATAAGCCAACCTTCGGTGAAAGTTTTACATATGCAAAAAAATGTGCATATGTAAAACTTCACATTATGTAACAGAATACAGTATAATTTACATGTAACAAAATACAGAAACTTTACGTGTAACATATATCAAAGTACACAACCTGAGTACGAAACTAATCCAACTGTAGAGACGTAAGACAGGATGACGTTATATCCCCGAAATTCTTTTTCATTAAGTATGATTTTCCAAGATGTCAAAAAGCTTCAATAAAATACGTTTGATTACATTGAAAATGTCATTTATTTGTTACACACAATTTTTATCAATAAAATTCAGCACTTTGTCGCTCACTAATTTTTGTTTATCTTCCGCAAAAATATATTTACTGGCATTAAGTGCTAAACTTGCTATCTTCGCTTTATCTAACAAAAATGTATCTAAGCAAATTCTATATTCTTGCGAAAGAGATGTTGCAAATACTCCTTTATCATCTGTCTAGAAATAAGATATTAATAATTAATAATAATATCCGTTAGGATATCGTTTAATAAATTTTCGTTTACGTAATTACTTACACAAAGAATGACAGGTATATTAGCATCATATAAATATTTAAAATGATGTGAAGAGTAATCAGGAACAGACTTGGTATTAACATTGCTTGTTAAGCAAACCTCTGTAAAAATAAACACGATTCCTTGAAATTTTTTCGATAGAAAAATATTCCAGTTACCTCTACCAGTGTTTTTTCTTAAAATATCTTATATATCTTTTTATCTTTTAATTATTCATGTGAGGTTACCAGATTTTCAAAGATAGTGTAACTATAAGATACTTTTAAATAGTGTAATAAGAGAAGAGTGTGGTTTGCAAGATGATGTTGTGACCAGGATTAAGAAAGGAATGCTTCGGTGGTTTGGTCATGTGGAAAGAATGAATGAGGAAAGAATAACAAAGAAAATTTATGTTGCAGAAGTGAATGGCAGAGTCGGAAAGGGACGTCCTAGGCGAAAATTTATCGACCAAATTGGCGATTTATTGAAAACGGGCTAAATTAGGAGTACCCTTAACCGACGAGCATGTATGCGTAGGTGTATGGATGTGAAGGAGGCGAGAGAGGTGTGTCAGGATCGTGCCAAATGGAAGTCTGTAGTCTCTGCCTACCCCTCTGGGTGACAGGCGTGAGTATTTGTTTTTTTTTTATCTTGTATGTTATAAGATACTTATGCAAAAAAGGAATTAAATTTTAAAAATTAATCTTTGGTTTGAAATAAACAAGAAATATCTAAAACGTACTCTAGCCCAGCCACCATATCCTAAGCCGCGGCCCTTCTCCTCTCCCCGATCACACACCAAGCTGGTCCAGCTTCGGCCGTCGGAGGAGAAAACCTGCGTCGTTTGCTAGCGCGTGCGCTTACGTCGCGTGCGTTTAGTGATTTATAATAATGGGAAACAAATTAAATTTACAAAGGAAAAAAAGGGTTTGCGAAAACAAAATATGCTTGCGGTATTTAAGTGACTACTTTCTTAATCATTTATATTCTTTTGGTTCCCAAAGGTTTAGTAAAATAATAAAGCACAATTTTTAAGAAGCCCCGCGCGCCCCTCAACGAAATCTCGTGAGGCTGCGGGGCACGGGGCTAAATCTTAATTTGAGCTCACATACTCTTTCCTCTCAAGAATATTCTCTTTATTCGACACTATCCCGGACCTCAGTCTGAGCGAAATCAGAATGGCTCTCTAGCAGTGGCGAAGCTAGAGCTCCAAGCTAGGGCAAGCCCAAGATATAAATTGATAAAAATATAGATTGTTGTTTTTAGTAGTTTTATAAAAATACACCAATCTTGATCTGTCTCCACACTTCAGTTTCATATTCAGTGCTGTCAAGGACGTGTTTAACAAAGCACACAGAAGGCATACCACTGCTAGATAGATTGTATTACATATCAGCAATTGCATAGCTTCGGTGGCTTTGAAGAAAGCCGTTTGGGTTTGTTTATGCGAAAGAAAAAAATATTAACATCCAATACAATACATGAGTACAAAGTACAAACAAACTATGTACAAAATTAAAAAACAAATTATTTACATTCTAATGGATAAGTGATAAGATAAGTGGAATCGTCTCGCTTTCTTATGGAAAGATTTAATTACGTCCACGTAAAATGTTGGTGAACGTTTTAATTGTACCAATAACTGTTTTTAATTGCGATAATTGATAAGTCTGAAATACACTCTTAACCTTGTGTATTATCTCAACAAAGTTTAAAGATTTCCTCTCCGATTAGCACTTTAACATACTTCAATTCATCACAAGGAACACTATTATCCTCCATTTTCATTAAAAATCTTTAAAAAAGCATAAATTTTGAACTCGTAATATTAAATCGCTTAAGATAAGCACACAGAGTAAATAAACATTGAAACGTGAAATGAACTTGCAAACGTATTGCCCGCGAGCCTCCGCTTTTAACAAATTTATTCCCAAAAGCCTGGCTTTAAATCTCTATACTAATTGCTATATATACATTCGTAGTTATATTTGATTATAGAATATTTTGCCATAGGTTAGAAAGAGAGCGATCGTCTTCTCGAAAGCCCCGTAAAAAGCCCACGCGAGCGAGGGAGACAACTAATCGCTCTATTAAAACTCATTTTTTATGACAGCGGCAGTATCGCTAAGGAAAATACGAGGTCATCGGTCGACATGTGTCGAACAGTGGAGTGCGCGGGAAATTTGAAATAGCTTGAAACATTTTACGAGTTATTTTATTAGTTGATATCATTGATTGATATTATTGATTGATTCAGTTTTAATAAGGCAAGCCCGGCTTTTCGGCTTTTATGGAAGCTTCGCCACTGCTCTCTAGCACATTAAAAACGGCAAGGCCGCAGGCAAGGATGGAATTACAGCGGAGCTTGTGATAACGGGTGCAAAACCCGTACCGGAAGTCCTTGAGAAGCTCTTTAATTCCGTCCTCCATGGTGGGACTACTCCGGAGGCGTGGAGCAGACATGCGGTTGCCTTTCAAGAAAAGCGACAACGCTCTCTTGAAGAACTACACATCAATTTCCCTTTTCAAGCCGCGTCTACGTGCTGTTTTCGAGGGTCATTACTAATCGTCTCGCACGCAGACTCGACGACTTCCAGCCTCCCGTCCATGTCACACCAACGCCGATAGTTGTTGGGAGCACTAAGTTGAAGTTATTGACGAGTATGTTAGGTTATGCTAGGACAAATAGACCGACTAGGTAATGGACTTACCTAGTCAGTCTATTTGTCCTAGCATACTTCGACCTAGAGAGGTCAAACGACGGATTCAAATCGGCTGGGTAGCGTTCGGGAAATTACGACGCATCTTCTGTTGTGTTATTGTGTAATGCGTGTTGCCAATGATGATTTATGGATTTGAGACATGGTCCTTAACTGCTGGCCGCATGAGGCCACTTAGTGAACTACGGAGAGGCTATGCTCGGGGTTTCTCTGCGTGATAAACTTTGAAATGAGGATATCCGTAGTAACAAAATTTGTAGCACTTCCGCAAAATCAATAGAAAATATACAGAGGGTATCTCCTTATTTGCTTTTGAATGTTTGGATGAATGCGAACACGCTGTCAATTAGCAGCGACGTTGCCGATACTCGACGTCGCTGGTCCCGTCAGTCTAACTATTACTATCACACAGTCATTGAAGGCGTCTAGACAGGGATGTCAGACGCGGGCGGAGCGCTCCCGAACGGCCGAACATCCACTTATTAGGAGTCTTGTACAACACAGTTTTGTTTATACGTGGTAGAGCCATGCTGCAGTTATATTAGTAGTATAGTTGTAGCACGAATGGGTCGGCTCGACCGGGGAAGGACCACGCTCTCACAGAATACCGGCGCGGTGTCAAATGGTAGCTTAATGCTGCTGTGTTTCGTATGGTGAGTGTAGAGAACCGGAGACCCTTTTTACTGGAAACGAGGCATTCCATCTTAGTCCTCACAGGTGACAACGCATCTGCATTTTGATTCGTAATCGAAGATACATTTAGGTGTCTATGGGCCACAGCATCCACTTACCATCAGGTGGACTGTGTGCTAGTTTGCCACCCTATCCTATAAAAAAAACACAAGATCTCTGCTCGGTCGTTTTAAAGATCGCTCTGTAGTTCATTTAAAACAGTGAACTATATTCACATTAGTTTGCACGGACAAAATGTTATAGTTCATTCTCTTAGTTCTATTAGCTCTATTCGTGAAATGGTTATCTCAGTCGATCGTTATCTGCTTGAGTATATAATATATGTTAGATAAATTTCTATTGATTTCCCTTAACATTATAAACTGCCTATATTGTATTCGATAGTAAACTATTTTTTATAATATATATTAGTAACTTTGCTTATTATAATCTATTTTTATTATTTTTGAATACCAATTATCTGATGAAGTAATTTAATTTGTTTAAACGTGGAGTAAAAAAACAGTTCATTATTTTTTATTACTTCCCGTTGTGACAACCCTAGCATATTTTATTCGTCCCGACGAAAGTCTTGACAATGTCGGCTTTTTCGACAACTTTAAACGCGATGACTGACTGTATATTCTTATGCCGGCTGTACACGCTCGTCAAGACACCACGAGACAGGCATAGAGGTGAGCGTAAAAAAAAAGTAAAGTAGCCTATATACGTCCCACTGCTGGGCACAGGCCTCCTCTCATTCCTGAGAAGGTTTTAGGGCAAGGAAGTGTCCGCCGCGCTACCCCAATGCGTGTTGGCGAACTTCACATGTCTTCGAAATATTATTTCTCTTATTCCTCAGACATGCAGGTTTCCTCACGATGTTTTCCTTCACCGCCAAGCACGTGGTAAATCAGCACTTAAAACTGCAATTAACAATTTCATTGGTGCCGGCGGGATTGAACCCGGGTTACTAATTCGCGTTCTGTTATATTTACAGCGAGCGTTAACCATCTGAGCTACCACGGCTGAGGTGGGCCAAGTACCAAGGTGAGCGTAATTTAACGTAATCGGTTTCAGAAACTGCTTACGAGCCTGATAATCGTATACCTAATTTCGTAGACAAAAATGTAACGATTATTTTACGTACGCAGTTGACACACACAACGACTGGCGTTCGCGTAAGCGTTTCGTTTTGAACAGATTTATTATTAAGATGATTATAGGTACGTAACACGATATACGACTCGCACAACGAGAGTAAAGAGTCCCTTCGGGATAGGTATGGCTTACACGCAAGATAAAAAGAGACGGCAATATAGTAATCGGTGCGTTTTTTTTTAAATGCAAATGCCCTTGCCAATTTATATGCAATTGGGAAGACTTAAAGTTAATTATGATAATGTTTTTTTAAAGAAATTGTGACCTTGAATAGAATTTTAGGCAGTTAACAAATGCAAGAATGTTATTGTCTCGTGTCTGTGAACTAACGTAATGTAACTTTTTGCGTTTTTTTTTTTAAATATTATAACATGTATAGTTTTCTTTGTGAATAAACATTTAAAGTGTTAATAAATATTTAATGTACATAAATAGATTATATAATTAGTGTAGGTAAATAAATAACTAAAATTTTTTTGTATTAAGTAGATTTTTGTGTATTATGCGGATCATAAAAATTGTGATGGACAATAATACTTAGGTACTTACATATTTTGTGACTGTATAAAATTGTACAAAGGTACTAATATTGACAATGTCGCGCGCATATTATAATACCTGTAAATTGTTATATATTCGTATTCATAACATAACACAGTTAAACTAATATTATAATACCTATAACCTGTTAATATTTTCGTAGTCAATATAACACAAACGCAAAACTAACCTACGCTACACTGTATACAGGTGTAACTAATTACAAAAATAAGCAGTTTTAGGGGGGGGGGGTACACTTCCATACTTCAGGTGGGGGTTCAATAATTTGCAAAGACACTAGTGCCATCTTGTATTTTTGTAATTTATTACTACAATTATAACATTAAATTCTAAAAGGTGCGCTAGATGGCGACTACACCAATTCTGGTTATTCTCGAACTGGCAAGTAGCAACTTTATATGACATCATAATTCATAATGGCTACCGGCGTCTGAGCAAGTTGTTGTTTTATTACAGTTTATAAGTGATTTTCGGTTGTTGCTACAATAAGTTTGGTTGAGTTGGGATTTTGTCTGTTTCTTGTTGTCTGTTTAGATTTTCATGCTGGAACCACATTGTATGTTTGTGTAGTGTAGTGCGAAATAGACGTTTTCATTTATCATTCCGATAACCCGGTGGACATATTTAATTTGGTTTGGTGTTGTATTTTGCGGAATAGACGCTTTTATATTGTGTATGTTAAATATATATAACAAAAATAAATGTTAATATTAAGTACTGAAATCTATAATACGTCTTTAACTGAACCCTAATCCCTTAAAATATAAATATAACTGCCTATAGTATAGATAGCTGTATATACATAACTACATACAACTATCTATAGTCAACATGACATTGAGATTAGTTCAAGGAATATGATACCAGACGGCGACACTATTCATATTGGGTGACAAAAAATCCTAGGAGATGGCTCTCTATTTCTGTATATATTACTCTACTCTATGCAGGCCGAGACTGCGCCCTCTTTTTCCCTGCGCCCTCTTTTCCCAAAAGAGGGTCGCTCACGATACGGCACAATAAAGCTTAATCAGCCAGTTGCCACTCCCTAAAGGCGGTTTTTAGAGGGTATTACTTAGTTTCCCCAGTAGGATGTGAGTCCCTCATAACCACGATAGACCGGCTATCGTGTAATGCATTTTCCGCCTCCCTACGTATAGGGTAGCCCTTTAATTGCTTCGGGCGCAAAAAAAAAGCAGGCCGAGTACGAGTGTGTACATGGTGCTCTCGGAAGCGTGTCGGTTTTTTGCGTTCGAATCGAAGGGTACTCGTGAGTATCGCGATGAAAACGAGAGCGTACACTATTCTATTCACCGTACATGGTACTGTTACGGTAAATAGCAACTATCCACCATCTCCTTCTCCGCAATGGCTTATTAATTTTATTTTTAGTAAATGTGTAAAAAATGATCATAGCTCAAAGGCAAAACGCAGCAACAGTTTTATCTAGGTCCATCGCAGCGGGGATACGGAGTTCAAATGATACGAGTGTGTACATGGTGCTGTGTTCTCGTGTTGAGCCTCAATATCAATACGACGAGGCACGAGAGGCGACGAGACGAGCGTGTACAGCCGGCATGAGCTACGTACATCTGTATACAGTATAGCGTAGGTTAGTTTTGCGTTTGTGTTATGTTATGATTACGAAAATATTAACAGACCATAGGTATTATAATATTAGTTTAACTGTGTTATGTTATGATTACGAATATATAACAGTTTACAGGTATTATAATATGTGCGCGACTTTGTCAATATTAGTATCTTTGTACAATTTTATACAGTCACAAAATATGTAAGTACTTAAGTATTATTGTCCATCACAATTTTTATGATCCGCATAATACACAAAAATGAACTTAATACAAAAAAATATTAATTATTTATTTACACTAATTATATGCCTATTTATGTACACTAAATATTTACCTACACTTTAAATGTTTATTCACAAAGAAAACTATACATGTTATAATATTTAAAGAAAAAAACGCAAAAAGTTTGTAAGAACATAGTTCACAGACACGAGACAATAACATTCGTCAATCATCCCTTGCATTTGTTAACTGCCTAAAATTCTATTCAAGGTCGCAATTTCTTTAAAAAAAACATTATCATAATTAACTTTAAGTCTTCCCCAATTGCATATAAATTCACATGGGCATTTGCATTTAAAACGCACCGATTACTATATTGCCGCTCTTTTTATCTTGCGTGTAAGCCATACCTATCCCGAAGGGACTCTTTACTCTCGTTGTGCGAGTCATATACCGTGTTACGTACCTATAATCATCTTAATAATAAATCTGTTCAAAACGAAACGCTTACGCGAGCGCCGGTCGCTGTGTGTGTCAACTGCGTACGTAAAATAATCGTTACATTTTTGTCCACGAAACTAGGTATACGATTATCAGGCTCGTAAGCAGTTTCTGAAACCGATTACGTTAAATTACGCTCACCTCTAGGCATGTCTCGTGATGTCTCGACAAGCGTGTACAGCCGGCATTAGGTTGTGGTCCTGTATACCATCGTCATCCAAAAGAGCTCATAGAAGTTAAACGTACCGACAGGTATTCCAGATTTACATAAAGCTTCCCAAGCATCATCAGTTCCACCAAATTTAGGATGTATACATGTCCCATGACCGATTCGATCTGGCTTAAACTGAATCATTTGCAATATTTCCTCTGGGTTACTGATTTCACCACAGTGCAGAGTCACCTGAAACAAATATATATAATGTTCAACACATTCAATGCACTACAACAATGAAGATTTTGAAACCGTAAATATATGTTATGTAATAAATTAACATTACTTTTAAGCCCGCAGTTCTCGCTCTTGAAAATACTTTTACGAAATTTTCAAACTTTCCACAACCTGGATTACCACTAAGCTCTAATCCAACCACAACATTTGGAAACTTTTTATGGTATTCTATTGCCAAATCTGCTATTTCTTCGGCTTCCGATATGGTATTACATCTATTTATAGATATTATAAGGAGAGAAATTATGCTAAGGCTTAGTGACGATTTTCTGCAAATATACAAAAGTAAACATCCAATTTTCTTTTAATTATAATAAACTCATTGTTCATCATAAAATTAGAAACTATTATAGAGTGTAACATTTTAGTGTCCTTAAAGCCTGAATATAATTCCACTGCATAGTAGTACATGTGATCAAACAAAATGATAAAGTGTCTGGGATACATCAAGCAATTGAAGGAAAAAATTAAATAACCATGCATTTAATTTTACCTTAAGTTCTTTTTAGATTTAGAGACTTTTTATTAGTTAAGTCTTTGTGTTTAATATGATTCAGCCGTTTAATATGATATTGTGTTACAAGTTTATAAAGATCAAGAGAAATACACACACACGCACGCGCACTCACGCGCACTCACACTCGCACTCACACTCACTCACACTCACACACACTCACATACACACACACACGCTCACACACGTACGCACTCGCGCACACTCGCGCGCACTCGCACACACTCACACACACACATACAAACACACACACACACACTCACACACACGCACGCACGGCACGCACGCACACAACACACACACGCACACACACACACACACACACACACACACACACACACACTTATTATTATTAGGGGTATCTGTATAGTTTTCTCATCTGGTTGGTTTCTATAAATATATAATTATAAATTAAAATGAAAAGATAAAATTACATAAATATCAATAAAATAAAATAAATACAAAAAATACACAAATAAATAAAGATCCAACCAGATGGAAGCCCTCGGCAGGGGAGACCAAACGGCCGAGGGTTAGGAGGAAAGGGAAAGAAACCGACAGACGATGCGGGCGGTATCAAGGACCACTGCCTTCTGCAATCGAGCCCGGAGCGGTCCGTCACGGAGTCCCAGTCGCCTCAGATGACCCGAGAGGCTGACTGGGATTAGCCCATTCGCAGAGACGACTACAGGAATAATTTCGGTCGGCCGACCACCCCACATGTCGGTCACCTCGTGAGCCAGGTCCAGATATTTTGTTCGCTTATCTGTTTCGGCTTTCACGAGGTTCTCGTCATACGGAATGGTAATGTCGACCAAAAATATCCTTGACTGTGCCCGGTTCATCAGCACAATATCAGGCTTATTCGCAAGAATTGTCCTGTCTGTGATGATGGCCCGGTCCCAGGCCTGGCGCGGTCATTTTCGAGCACGGCTTCCGGCAAGTACTTGTAATACCGCACTTTCCGGTCCACGAGATCGTATTTCAGAGCGAGCTCCTGGTGTAGAATTCTGGCTACTAGGTTGTGCCTGTGCAAGTACTCAGAGTTAGAAAGCGCCGAACAACCGGAGATGACATGCCTAAGTGACTCCCCGGGATGGCGACAAGCTCGACAGACGTCGACGGTGCCATCCTTTAGAATGTATCTCCCATAGTTGTTGGTCTTAATAACCTGATCCTGTATTGCACAGACAAAACCCTCGGTTTCCCCGAAGAGGTCACCGAAACGTAGCCAGTTGAGGGAGGCGACTGTATTTACGAAGGGTTCATGTAGAGCCTCGTAGTACCTCCCGTGGAGCTCCTTCTCCTTCCATACGGTCTCCCGGTCGGAAATGCTAAGCACTGCTGGGTCCTGTCATTGCTCGTTGGCTAAGGATAGAGGGGTAAGCCCTTTATCACTAGAAATGACGTCATTATTATTATTATTATTGTGGGGTATCTATATAGTTTTCTCATCTGCTTGGGTGCTATAAATATATAATTATAAATGAAAATGAAAAGATAAATATACATAAATATCAATAACATAAAATAAATATAAAAGTACATAAATAAATAAAAGCCCAACCAGATGGAGGCCCTCGGCAGGGGAGACCAAACGGCCGAGGGTTAGGGGGAAAGGGAAAGAAACCGGCGGACGATGCGGGCGGTATCGAGGAGCACCGCCTTCTGCATTTGAACCTTATTATTATTATTATGTGGGGTATCTATATAGTTTTCTCATCTGGTTGGGATGTATAAATATATAATTATAAATGAAAATGAAAAGATAAATATACATAAATATCAATAAAATAAAATAAATACAAAAATACATAAATAAATAAAA